GGGATCGCTCCCCCCACAGCTCCCGTAGTCGGCACTGTCTCGGATGCCGTTGAAATCAGAGGGGTGGAGGTGACCGGGACGCTTCCCGTATCAGCCTCCGTTGAAGGTGGTTTCCCCTCGCTCTCGCTCATGACAGCCGTCAGATTCGAGATGATAGGGAAAATAGGATTCCTAACAAAATGTTAGATCCCAAGCATTCAAAATAAATCCACGTTTAAAAGTAAAGCAAAATTTATTTCAAAGCGATGGTTTGATCAGGAACAAGGACATTGTTAGGAATAACTGCAATCGTACTGGGACTACATAATAAAGGAACTTGAACCAGGTAAGGGCCAATTAGCCCCTTTCCCTCTGGCGGGAATAGAACAGAGAACTCGTGCCCAATTCCTTGGGAACGTAACGGTTCATCATTTTACACAAGTTCAGTTCTCAGGCAAGCTAACCATAACAGCGAAGCGATACCACGACTCCCACCTCCAGCTGCTCGACCTTGGCCAGTTTCGCAAAGCTACAGAGTTAATATAATGAAGCAAAAGGGTACACCGGGGGGGGGGAATGGTTGAAACAGCTTCTACAGGTAATACCATATACACCAGACATAATGGCAGCTAGCTGACACCTTCTAGCTTGGGCTGCCAACCAGCGTTCCTTCTAAGCTGAGTTAGTGGGAGCTAGCTCACAGTTTTTGAGCCTCCAGCTCACAAATTTTTGTCTCAGCTCAGGAAGAGTGGCTCCGGAGCAAACGAATTGATGCAGTGGCGGAATGGCTTGCTCACAGCAAATCAAATCAAATCAAATTTATTGTTACAGCCAATTGACCAGCAGTGCAGTAAAACAATACAATAATAAACAAGTACGATCGCCATCACTCACAGACAATAATACCATCATAGTACCAGCCACAAACGCCTATTAAAATCGTAATTCCATTCCCTAAATTCTAAGTTTTGTCTAAAATTCTCTTCAGTCTGTGCTTTTTGTTAAAATCTTTCGCTTGTTTATTACTAAAAAGCAATATTTTGCTACTACCAGAGTTACCGACTTCTTGGTATCTTCCAACAAATATTTCAGCAGCTCAGTATCTGCAAATTTCAAACAGTTGTCCAAGGGTTTAAATTGGGCAAGTAAAGGAAAAATTAGCTGGTGTCTCTCTCTGAAATAGAGTTTACAATGTAAAAGAATGTGTGTGATTGTTTCAACTTCTTTATCTGCACATAGACAACATCTTTGATGTATAGGCAAACGGAGATACCTTCCTTGCAGTAAATTAGAGGGGAAGGCATCAAAGCGCACTCTAGAGAAAGCCCACCGATACTTTTTATATGTAATGTTCCAGAGATATGGTGCTAATCCAGACCTTTTGGCTAAAATCAAGTGTAGCTCGCTCACAGCTTTAATGCCAATAGCTCCAAGGAGAATTTTTGCTCACAGGACTCCACAGCTTAGGGGGAGCACCGCTGCCAACAGGCCAGGAGAAGGAAACGCCCTGCCCCTTTGCCGTGGGGAGAGTGGGCAAGTGAAGCTTTTGTGGTAGGCCTGCGGTCAGGCACACTAAATAATCCACTTTCAATGCACTTTCCAACTTGGACTGTGCCAGTCCCCACAGTAAAATCCAGTTGGGAAGTGCCCTGAAAGTGGAGTTAGAGCGTGTGTGTGTTTGACCGCAGGCGAAGAAGACCGGAGGGAACCTTCATTCTAGGGATGGGTCCCATTCCCCATTCCCCCCTCCAGGCAGTGGGCAACCCCAGCTGGCAGGCACCCCCCCCCTCCACTTGCGACACCGCCGTGCCAGGCGGGCAAGCAGGGTCCGCACTCGGCCCCCTCCGAAGCGGCGGCAGCAGCAGCAGAGATCTGCCCGAGCCCGCCGGCCGCAGCAGCACCCCGGAGGCCGCCCCGGCCTGCCTGCCCGCGCACCGCCCCGGCCTCGCCTCCTCGAGAGCAAGGCCACCCGGGCGGGGCCGTGGAGAGGGTGCCGCCGGCCTCGGCGTGGCCCTACCGGGCACAGGAAGCAGAAAGCGGCGAGGCGAGGCGAGGCGCTCCGGCCGGGGTGGCGGCACGGAGCGGCCGCCGGGAGGCAGCGCAGGTCAGTCGGCGGCTCGGGGTGGGCCGGGAGGCGGCGCGGCTCGGCCTCCTGGGGCCGGCGCTC